GCTCCGAGACAACGGTGCGGCAACTGGTGGGGGAAGTGGTGGCGGGCTAGCCGGGGCTGGAGCAACCGGTGTCGCCACCTTGGGGGCTTCCTCCACGGGGGGCCTCCACGGCACGAGGTCCAAGCATGTTGCCGAAGCAGGCTCATCGTCGGCGGGCTCGGCCTCGAAGTTGAGTCGCAGATCAAGCCTATCCAGGCAAAGTTCAATCTTGACCTGGTCAGGTCGGACCAGCTGCCGAAACACCCTATTCTTGAGCTTCTCGTCGGTCTTGAGCTGGCGGGCATGATGCATTAAGAGGCGGATGGCCATGTCCACTTTGTCAAAGTGATCGGACAAAGTTTTGCCCTTGTGCACAGCCACCGTCAGATCGCCTGCCTTGTGCAGGCTCTCCAGTGCACCTTTCACTCTGACAGCCAGCAGCTTGCTGTTCGGGGCTATCCCCAAGAAGTCGTACACCAGCCCCGCCACTTTGACCAGCCACGGTCCACACACTGGGGTAGCCCACGTCCAGCTAAGCGGCCCCCCTGGCGGGGGGCAAACTAAGGACCACAGGTCGCTCGTCTTGTGGTGGGACAAATAGTCCCTGATCACTCGGGCCAAGGACTCCACTCCGATCGACGGGTCGGCGGTGATCCGTTTCGCCGGGCTTTTGCTGTTCTTCGCAAACTGTGCCGATCGCTCTGCTACAGCAGCTTCGAGGCTGGCCATGAAGACTCTTTCCCGCTTGGGACCCTACAGCTGGTGAAACAAGCGGACCTACTTTACACGTAGGAACACGAGGCCTGAGAGCAAAGACACAAAATGGCATTGCAGATTGCCCACTCAACCGATACCAGTCTGCAAAAAAAAAACAGAGGAGCACGAAAGTAAGACAGCATCCCGAGATTCGGCCTGCAAATCGTAAGTAACTCGGATGTAAACAAGCTACATTCAACAGCCGGGCTACCAGAGTAATCCCACGATTCGGCATGCAAATCGCAAGTAACTCGGATGTAAGCAAGCTACCCAACAGCAGGGCTACCAGACTCATGCCACGATTTCGCCTGCAAATC